TGTGCCAACATTTGTCTTATTCCTACCAAGGGTTAATGTACATGTCATGATGTATCATCCTTGAAATCCTTCATTCATAAATCGTTCAAAATACGATGCGTATATTCAACATTTTTTATTACACGCACAACTGAAAGGGGTGCATGTGTGTGCGCGGGATTTTTTATTAATAAACGAGTAATGCGAATATGTCACTGTTAGTTTTTCATGGCAATAAATCCAAATGGAAGAATGTGAATCTTATAAGTAATGATGGATGAATGAATAAAAATTCGGATTATGTATTTTAATATGTAAGTTGCCATTTGCAATGATTATGTCAATATATAAGTTGATGTGCAGATGTTGGAGTCTAGTCAAATTTCAAACATAACTGTACCTCGCGATATTCGGTATTTCAACGATTTTAGCCACAATTTCATTAAGTTCGCCCGGATCGAACTTATTATACCCTCCACCCTTGGGTAAAAAAAACATTTTATGCAAAAGTATCTGGATCCAAACGTGTTCCACTTTAAACTACAAACTCCAGTAAGATCGGTAGGAGAATGGTTGGAGCCTAACGGGAGTGCTATAGGCAAACGTGGACGTATATATACAATGTTCCGATACTGGAGCTAAAGCCCACAACGAACTACAAATACCAATTTTTATACAAATCCATGGACAAAATGTGGCTAAAAACATTAAAATACCGAATATCGGGAGGTACCGTTGTATGGGGCTACACGAAAACGTGGACCGATATGTACAATGTTCCTCCATCGGAGCTAGAACCCACTACGAACTACAAATACCTTTTTTAGACAAATCAAAATACTGAATACAAATTGTTCTTCTCTACGTCAAAAAACGTGAGCTGTATCGTGATTTTAACAGACAGACTGTCATAGTTAAATCGACTTAGAATTTTATGCTTAAAAATGTAACTGTACTTCCCGATATTTTGACGATTTTGACCACGAACTTACTTGTAACCCTGTATTTGAATTTTGAATAGGGTGTAGGGGCCGACAATGTGATACTCTACAACATTACAATATGTTGGAAGCCCCCTTATGTCCAAATTCATTTTGGAAGATTTCGATTTTGATAGAGCCCTACCATTAGCTTTTCAGTATTCAAGGTATTCAAAACAATTTCACACGAAAGTTGTTGTCCATTTTACAGCTTAATATAATCCAATGGTCATGCAAAATGCTTTCCTGTACTTAACTCTCTTATCATTCAAAATTCCATGTCGATTGGTTTTTAATTGTGACCTGTACCTGTACTTGTGTTTTGGTCCATTTGAACCCCTGAATGTATATCTCCACACACAATAGGCTTTAATTCTGACCCTAACCCCATGCAAAATTTCGTGAGCATCGTACGATAATTGCGACCTGTATGTAATACCCTCAACTCATAGTGTTGCAGGGTGTAAGAATTACTTAGAAAATGTATTAATCTATTTGTGATTTGGCCGGGTTAAAAATATTTGCGGTTTAGTGGAAATTTTCATATTTTTTTGATATAAAAGCTATGGTTTATTTTACCCTCTAAATATTGTCCGATTACCATCCAAATTGCTTAGCTTCGGCCCAGCCCTGAACTCTAACTCCATGCAAATTTCGGAGTTGATTGGTTAATAATTGTGGCCCATAGAGAAACTGCAAAATCAAAAAAATATTCTGAATTGCAACTTGTAGCGTGATTACAAATTAACATGGACAGACGGTCGGACATACATAGCTAGATCGACTCAGCTTGGCGAGATAGGAAGATCCATATATAATTTCCTATATCAGAAACCATTATTTCGAGGTGTTAAATATTCTTTGGCCAATCAAACTTATAATACCCCCAACACATAGTGTTGTAGGTAGTGTAACACCTTCTATATGGTTCAACATTTTTCTATATTATTTTATATTATAATATATATTATATATTCCAAATATTGGAGTGTATAACAAGTTTGACCCGACCTAACTTATTTTTTTGTGTACTCGCAAATTAGTGTTTAGGATCAATACCTTAGGCCATTCTGTTTTCTGGAATAATATTTTTTTTTGCATAAAATACAATCACAATTTACGTATCATAAAATGATATATTAAATTTTCCCGAATTGTACAAGCATAAAAATATGTGTGTACAGTATATGTATGGTCATAGCCTTTGCTAAATTAAAAATTTAGGTATATTTAATGGTAAGGCGACATCTATTAAATTATGTAATAACTACATATGCCTGAGGTATTGTTGACAAACACCTACTAAACACAATGTTGTTAAATACATATTACTAGAAATTATCGTTGACATATTTTTTGATTTTTATTTTAGTGTGTGAGTTTCTTACCTGTTTCGTTCCATTTATAAAAAATCTGTAAACAAAAGAAAATATATAATTTAATGCTTTCGGGCAAATAAGACAATTTGTTTTAAATGTCTTAAAAAATTATTGGTCATACATATTATTGCATATATTTTCTGATGTAAGCGACCATTCTTTAAAATCGGCTTTCAATACGACAACCAAACGAACGGACTACGCTATGAGAATATTTTCTAAATTTTTAGATGATTATAAACTGAAAATTAGCAGCTATTTCAAAAATAATTTCAAAATCGTTTTACTTAAATGTATTTTTTTATATCAAGGCTTTGCAGGGGATAGATAGATGAAGCTTGTGCCAAAAACTGACGCAAAATTGATTTTTTATGCTTTAGACCACATAGTGGTAATGGTCTTTGTGAATTTGTTTGTAACATGGAGAAGTAAGCGAGATAGACCCATAGTTACTTTTGAGGATCTTCACAGAATTTCTTTCTGAGTCGATTTAAGCATGTCAGTCCGTCTGTCCATGCATTTGTGTGAACAAAATGCAGGTCGCAATTATTATCCGATTGAGATCAAATTTACCATAGAATATTTGTTTGGCCCAAGAACGAACCCCATTGTGAGAATCGGTTCAAATTTAGGTATAGTTCCCATATATATCTACAACAGATTTCTGGTAAATTGTGCACCAAATGGCTAATATTAGACCAAATGGCCTGCATTTTGGCACAAGCAAGTGTCTCAAATGTGGTGAAAGCCGCTTCAGAAAAAAACTATAGCTCCCATATACATAGCGGGATGAGAAAACTACAATTAACTTCAGACTGCTGTCTTTTCTAAGCCAATTGTCCGACAGATGTTAAAATTACTCCAGTGACTGCTCACGGTAACGAGCTCTGGTAACGTGTACGGGTAGCGTAGGCCGACGTCAAGGTAGTGAACGAAAGAAAACAGCACCGTCAACAGAAATGGTTCAAAAAGTAAAGAAGCGACTTGATCGAAACCCGCGTCGCAGTGACCGAAAAATGGCTATTGCAATATTCCATTCGGCAATTATTGGAAAATGAGATCGGGGTAAACAGAGGTACAACCGCAATAGAAAGAAAATAGACTCAGAAGAGCTATAGAGTTGTTTCGCTTGGCCGAAAGTGGTGAACTGCCGAATTTTGTTTTCTCCGATGAGAAAACATTCGTTGTCCTGCAGTTTGTAAAGAAACAAAATGATCGTGTTTACTTGCCAAAGAGGCCAGCTGAAAACTCAAGCGCCGGCCATGGTGATGGTTTGGGCAGCCATAACAGCCGATAGTCGCTCTCCGCTCGTATTAATCAACCGTGGCATCAGAATAAATGCCGAATATTATCGCGAAAATATTCTGGAGGGTGTATTAAAGCCTTGGGCATGCAAACATTTTGGCCGCACATCTTGGACATTCAAACAGGACTCAGCACGCACTACCCAAGCATGGATACAAAATGAGGTTCCTCGCTTCATTTCCAGCGCACAATGGCCACCAAAATCTCCGGATACCAATCCGATGGACTATTGTGTCTGCAGTATTTTGAAAAGCAAGTTTGGCATTAAAAAATACCAAAGTGTGGATCACCTCAAGCAATCGCTTTGCCGGGAATGGGCGAAAATACCACAGAGCAACATTCGGGCAGCGTGTGACGGTTTCATTGGCCGTTTGAAGTCCATAATTCGTTCCAAAGGTGGCCAATTCAAACAAATCTAAACTTATTCTACAATTTGATGCTATTTCCGAAAATTTGATACTATTTGCTTTCATTCAAAAAAATTTAAAAAAATATAAAATTTTTTATCTCACCCTGTATGACTATTTGTGGGGGATGCACGAGAAATGGTGAACCGATACCAACCTAACTTTAACGTGATAAAAGGTGTCATTATATATGAAGTTTAGGACCTAACCTCATTCTAGATCTAGTTATGATAGAACTCGAATTTTTAGATAGCTAAGATATTAAAAATGTTGAGCCCTTGAGAAGAGCTACTAGAAGAATTAAAGCGATGTTATACATGTTGACCTATGTCTGGTATGGATATAAAATGCGAAATGAGCACTCGTTGTAGTCGAAACAGACACAAACACAGTCTGTAGTGTATGAATTATCAAATTCTCAAACTTCTTTTAGTACCTTTCGCACCTTTTGAATAATTGAAAATTTCCTATGCACCGAAACTTATCATATTTTAATATTATTTTCCAAAAACTGACATTCCATCTAATACCTTCCCCAATAATTATAGTTGTTTGAGTCATATGTTTTGTGTCCTGTATAGACTACATTGTTCCTCCCTTTCTGGAGGGTAGTGGTCTAAATTTTAAATAACACAACCCACATAAATTGACAAGTAAATCAGCCATTTCCTTTAGATTTCTTAGACTTTCTGGTAATATTAAATATAATAAAAAGATGATTTACCGGCTAACTTTTCTGGTACTTTTGACAAAAAAGAAAAAAGTCCATAGAAATTTAAATTTCTTAAATATCTCGCCCTCATAATCAATAGGCTTGTCATACCAATGACTTTAAATAAATTATGGTTATCTGGCTGCATCTATGGCAATGCCTCCCCTAGTTAGTTGATAACATAAAACCTAACAAATAAAAATAATGTTTGGTATAGTTTTTCGGTAGTTGGCTTTAAGCTATCAAATTGAACAGACGCGTTATTTTCAATATTTCTATTCGGTTATTCGCGATAAGAACATATAATTTTTTCAACATGCGTAAAATGCTAACTACGCTAGCTCTTTTGCTTAGCGTATTTTTATATGGCGCGAACGGTGCAAATATTTTAGTTGTCGTACCCACCTTCAGTCCATCTCATTTGATAATTGAAACGGCCGTGGCCAGAGCAATGTCGGAAGCCAACCACAATGTAACAATGGTATCGGTGTTACCTCTTAAATCCGAATGGTTACATCCCAGCATGACATATGTACAAATTGAATCGGGTTTTATAGATATGAATGCAGCCATTTCAGCCAATCAAGGCGGTGGATTAAAGAGAATAATAAAAGCTGTTGACATGCTAGATCAAATAACACAAGCTATGGGTCAAGCCCTGGGCGATCCAAGATTGACGGAGTTAATTCAAAATCCTGGAAATAAATTCGATTTAATGTTGTTCGGTTATTTTTATGCGGACTTCTTTTTTGGCTTGGCTGAACATTTTAATTGTCCTGTGGCATTACTTTGGCCGAATATACCTGTCGGAACAATTTTGAAAATGATTGGAAATCCCATAGAAATAACATACGCTCCTGTCAGTTTAATGCAACCTGTACCGGCAGATGATAATTATGGTTTTATGTTCCGTTTGAAAAATTTATTAGCTGGTGCGATTGAAACGATGTTAGTGAAAACTCAGTATGGGACTATTGAAGGTATTTATAGGTAAGTTTCGCTTGATATCTGTTGACTTAAAATACATTTGAGAACAACTTAATCACCGTATTTTTGAGGAGTTCCAAAAAATGCAAGTAAGAAAACAGCTAAGTTCGGCCGGGCTGAACTTGTAATTCCTCAGCCATTTGGAAGAAACTTAAAAAAAAATCAAACAGCTTCCGGAAACTACAACCTAAATGAAAACTGTAATATGGGGCCTATACAAAGACGTGGACCTGCATACGAAATTTTTGTGTTATAGGCTGTAGTAACAATTAAGATATCCCAATACGAAATTTGAAACGATTTCGGTAAATAATGTTGCTAAAATCATCGAAATACCGAATATCGCGAGCTATCGTTATATGGGGGCAATACGAAGACGTGGACCTGCATACAAAAATGTTTCTCCATAGATAGTAGTATCCATTACGAACTTCAAATACGAAATTTGAAATAATGTCGCTAAAATCATGAAAATACCGAGTACCGAGAGGAATTGTTATATGAGGGCTACACGAAGAGGTGGACCTGCATACGGATTTTTTTTCCATAGGTTGTAGTAACCATTGAGATCCACCAATACGAAATTTGAAACGATTTCGGTGAATAATTTTGCTGAAATCATCGAAATACCGAATATCGAGAGCTATATGGGGGCTATACGAAGACGTGGACCTGCATACAAAAATGTTTGTCATAGGCTGAAGTAACCATTACGAACTTCAAATACGAAATTTTTTTCCATAGGTTGTAGTAACCATTGAGATCTCCCAATACGAAACTTGAAACGATTCCGGTAAATAATCATGAAAAATCGAGTATCGAGAATCATGAAAATATCGAGTATCGGGAGGAGCCGTTCTATGGGGGCTATATGTAGACGTGGGCCTGAATACAAAAGTTTTTCTCATAGGCTGTAGTACCCATAACGAAAATTAAATATGAAATTTGAAATAATTCCGGTACATACTGTCGCTAAAATCATGAAAATGCCGAATATCTGTTCCGTACCGTTATATGGGGGCTATACGAAAACGTGGACCAACATAAACATTTACGAGCCTAACCTGTCTACTGGTAACTATGCATGTATGGTAAATTTTAGCCATCTATCCTTATTCGTTCGAAAGAACAAAAGACAAACAGACAGATAGACGGACAAACCGACAGACAGACGCACATATTGTCTTAGAATTTACGCTGATATAAATATTTCGAGGATTTACAAACTGACTGACAAAGTTAATATACCCTCCATAGAATGGTGGCGAATAAGTTCTGAGTGGCGAATATTCCAGGTAATTCTTTTAAAAATAGTGCCTGATCTGTGCTATTAAAGACATTGTGTCTTACGTCATATTTTGGGTTTACGCTGTCCTGTCTGAACTATAACCACATACAAATTTTTAAATTTAGCATAGTACATAGAACATTTCGAATTTCTTGTACAATCATAGTGATTTTCTCACTTAAATTAATTTTTATTTGGCATATAGGGGTTCAGAAATCATTACCCCTACGAATACCAATTGATAGTCTGGATGATAAAAAAAAGTAATTTCGAACATTAGTTTACAAAAACCGGTAATAATCTAATGACTTGCGTTGCCGATTCAGATTAAGGGTTATGGTCAATTCAATTGATATTAATAAAATTTAAACAAGAAAATTAGAGAAATGCTCCGTCATTCCTAAACGATTGCAAATTGTTTTGATAAGACTTCATTCTAATAACATATGTCATTATGTTATATCTGTATAACATAATGACTAATCAAAATTTGATATATTATTTTCTGGGAAACAATTACTTCTGTAAAATTTATTAAGTTTATACAAAACCATTTTTGTTTTCTTTTCATATTTTAAAATACCAAACATTACAACGACTGAAAAATACACATAATTTCAAAATGTTAAATTATGTAAAAACAAATAAAAATTCAGTGAACATATCGCAACATTCCATTCGGCAAATATTGAAAAATGAGCTAGGGGTAAAGCCATTAAAATTACAAAAAGAGCAATAACTTACACCGCAACAAAAAGAAAATAGACTCAAAAGAGCTAAAGAGTTGCTTCGCTTGTCCGAAAGTGGTGAACTGTCGAGTTTCGTTTTCTCCGATGAGAAAACATTCGTTGTTCAGAAGTTTGTAAACAAACAAAAATATCGTGTTTACTTGCCAAAGAGGTCAGCTGAAAATGTGCACCTTCGGTTGGCAACTTGAACTCAAGTGCCGGCCATGGTGATGGTGTGGGCCGCCATAACAGCTCTCCGCTCGTATTAATCGACCGTGGCATCAAAATAATATTATCGCGAAAATATTCTGGAGGTTGTAATAAAGTCTTGGGCACACAGACCTTGGACTTTCCAACAGGACTCAACACCATCGCACTCAGCACACGCCACCCAAGAATGGTTACAAAATGAGTTTCCTCGCTTCATTTCCAGTGCACAATGGCCACCAAAATCTCCGGATTGTAATCCGTTGGACTATTGTGTCTGGATACAATTACGGTGAATAATATCGCAAAATTTATGAAAATACGGAGTATCAGGAGTTACCGAAGACGTGGACCTGCACAGACAGATTTCTGTCTTAGGTTGTAGTACCCTTTAGGATCTTCCAGTAGGAAATTTGAAACAATTTCGGTGAAAAATGTCGTTAAAATCGTCAAAATATCGAATATCGGGAGGTACCGTTATATGAGGGCTATAGGAAGACTTGGACTTGTATACAAAATTTTTTGGCATAGATTGTAGTACTCATTAGAACCTTCCAGTGTGAAATTTGAAACGATTCCGGTTAATAATGCTGCTGAAATCATCAAAATACCGAATATCATGAGGTACCGTTATATGAGGGCTATGCGAGGACTTGGACCTGCACAGGCAATTTTCTGTCTTATGCCGTAGTATCCATTACGAACTTCAAATACCAAATTTGCGTGAATAATGTCACTAAAATCATGAAAATACCGAATATCGGGAGGTGCCGTTATATGGGGGATATACGAAAACGTGGACCGACAATGTTAATATAGCCTCCATAAAATGGTGGAGGGTATAAAAATCATGGCGTTTTACTTTGTTGAAGCTTTTTTATCTCACCCTGTATAAAGAAAAATATAATTAGCTTTCTCTTAAAACATCTTTTTTGCTGGCTGAAGTGGCCGCACCCCTCCTAAGAGAAATCTATAGCTAACTAGTGTAATTAAGCGATATTTCCACATACAAGTTGAAACAAATTATTATTAATTAACTTTATGATTGCACATTGTTTAATAGTAATAGGGATTCCAATTCGCTAATATTATTTCTGTAGCTATTATGTGAGGGAATATATTCGTTCGTCCAACATCGTGATGAAAGACTGAATCTATGAACATTTTTATATCTGTATTTCCCAAGATATATTTCTTCCTCCTTTAATATCATTTTATATATATTTATAAAATATTCAAATAAATGACACAATAAATTTTTCGAAAATTCCCATGATCGAACTGTACATACCTAATAAGTGAAAGATGTGAGAATAAAAAAATGAGAACTGAAAATAATATCTTATAGCTTTTAAGTAGTTTACAAAAAGTTTTCCCATCGAAAAGAACAGTTCCTCAGTCGTTTTTAGTGATCGAAGCGCAATTCAACATCGTTACATTCATATACTGTTCACCAATTGCCTGAAAAATGCGAATTAACTTATTCATGTTAGCAATAATACTAAATGTGTTAATGTCACCCAGGGGAATGCTCTTCAGAAAATTCTCAAAGCATTCTCAATGATGAAAAACATGACTCTTACATTTGGTGAAATGCTCGCCGATCGTAAAATACAAAGCCTTATTGAAAATAGTGATAATAAATTTGATCTGATGTTATATGGTTATTTTTATGCGGACTTCTTTTTTGGTTTGGCGGAGCATTTTGACTGTCCCGTGGCATTGCTATGGCCAAATATACCGGTTGGAACAATTTTACAATTAATAGGAAATCCACTGGAAATGACATACTCGCCAGTCAGTTTAATGCAGAAAATTCCTCAAGACGACAATTATGGATTTGTATATCGTTTAACAAATTTACTAGTTGGAGGATTTGAATTATTGATGGCCCATTCACAATATTGGACTATACAAGGTATTTACAGGTATGACAATTGTGTAAAAATATTTTAAATATTTTTTTGGGTGTAAAAAACGTTTCTTTGGCTTGACAATTTCTATGTCTTTTTCGTCCATTATTTCATAAACCGGAAGATAATTATTACAAGAACAGATTTTTCGGCTTCAAAGTGTTCTAGAAAAATGTTGCTCAGAGAATTTTAAGTACGGTTCTCATAATGACAAAAAATGGTAATTTCATATTTTGGTGGTTTTTTTTTTAGAATTTGTCCTAAAATTGTCAATACATTTTTTTGGAAGAGAACTGAATAGTCTATTACAAGGAAGTGTAAACAAAGGACCTCCTTAAAAGGTACAAAGCCAAATAATTTTTCGTTATGCTGTGGGTAATGTCGCTAAAATCATCAAAATCCCGAATATAGGGAGGTACCGTTATATGACCTTTACAATTTTCTGTCACAGGCAGAAGGTGCACATTTTCAGCTGACTTTTGGCAAGTAAACACAATCATTTTGTTTGTTTACAAACTGCTGGACAACGAATGTTTTCTCATCGGAGAAAACCAAATTCGGCAGTTCACCACTTTCGGCCAAGCGAAGCATCTCCTTAGCTCTTTTGAGTCTATTTTCTTTCTTTTGCGGTGTAAGTTCTTGCACATTTTGGAATTTTAATGGATTTACCCTGGCTCATTTTTCAATATTTCCCAAATGGAATATTGCGATATGTTCAGCTCACGAGCCATTTTTCGGTCACTGCGACGCGGGTTTCGATTAAGTCGCTTTTTTACTTTTCGAATCATTTCTGCTGATGTTGCTGTTTTCCGTCCACTTCCTTGAAGTCTGGCTGATCTACCAGTTTCACGGTAACGACCGATGGTTCGAGACACAAAAGATTTATGGAGGGTATATTAATTTTTTCGTTCCGTTTGTAACTCCTCGAAATACTCATGTCAGACCCAACAAAGTATATATATTCTTGATCAGCGTAAAATTCTAAGACGATTTAGCATTGTCCATTTGCCTGAAGCTAAAATGTTGAACACATGTATATTTTGCCAGTAGGCAGGTTAAGTTCGTAAATAGGTCATATAGGTCTACGTTTTCATATAGCCCCCATATAACTGTACCTCCCTATATTCGGTATTTTGATGATTTTAGCGACATTATTCACCGGAATTGTTTCAAATTTGGCGTTTGAAGTTCGTAATGAATACTACATCCTAAGGCAGAAAATCGTCTATGCAGGTCCACGTTTTCCTATAGCCCCCATATAACTGTACCTCCCAATATTCGGTATTTTAATGATTTTAGCGTCATTATTCACCGTAGTAGTTTCAAACTACGTAGTTAGAGTTCGTAATGGAAACTACAGTCTGTGACAGAAGATTGTCTATGCATGTCCAGGTCTTCGTATAGGCCCCATATATCAGTACCTCCCTATATTCGGTATTTTGACAATTTTGGGTACAATAATCACCGAAATTGTTTGAGATGTCGTATTTGAAGTTGGTAATGGAAGCTACAGCCTGTGACAGAAAATTGTCTATGCCAGTTCAGGTCTTCGTATAGCTCCGATATAACGGTACCTCCCTATGTACGGTATTTTGATGATTTTAGCTACATTATTCACCGTTTATTTCAAGTCTCGAATTTGAATATGGTAATGGCTTATGACAAACAATGCCAACGTAGGTCCACGTCGTACAGACACTAATATAACGGCTATATTCGGTATTTTTAAGATGTTAGCAGAATTTTTGGCGAATGTTATCTTTTTCGAAAATTTCCAAATTCGTTCTAAATGGTAGAGGGTATTCAAAGTTCGGCCCGGCCTAACTTCCTCCTTTTTACTTGTTTTCAATTCTTTTATTAATTATAATAAAATGGCAATACTGTCATATATCTGTCGTCATAATCTGTCAATTTACTAGTTAACATTTTGGCAAAACCGCAAATAAACGATCGGATCTCATAGTGGAGTATGAAAATTGTTCGATTAAGACTTTTGTTTTAGTTCTTATCTCAATATCTTTTTATTTCTGTGCACATTCATAAGTACTTTTCGTAGCTAAGCATAAACAAATCGCAAACAGAGAGTAAAAGCTTTGAATAACTAGTCATATCTCAGAGAGAATAAAAGCTCGCTGCCACTGAGTTTTCTCTTTTAAAAACAAAACTTGATTTTCAATTCAATTCAATGTTGCCGGTGCAAATGTTTTGGTCTTTCTTCCCACCTCCAGTCCGTCACATTTAATTATTGAAACAGCAGTGGCAAGAGTTATGTCTGAAGCGAATCATAATGTGACAATTGTTTCGGTTTTACCTCTTCACCAAGAATGGTTACACACCAGTATGACGCACATAAAACTTGAATCGGGATTGCTTGATATGAATGCGGCTATTAACGGTACTCAGGGAAATCGATTTCAAAGAATGTTTAAAGCATTCGATGTAATGCAATATATGCTATTCGGCTTGAGTCACATATTCGATGATCCCAAAATGCAAGAATTAATGCATAACCCGGATAATAAATTCGATTTAGTAATATATAGTTATTTATATGCCGATTACTTTTTTGGTTTGGCGGAACATTTCGATTGTCCAGTGGCTTTACTTTGGCCAAATATACCAGTAGTGACGATTTTACAATTAATTGGTAATCCATTGGAAGTGCCGTATACCTCGGCGAGTTTAATGCAATCTGTTCCCATCGATGAAGGTTATGGATTTGAATTTCGTTTGAAGAATCTATTGGCCGCCGCATACGAAATTATTATGATGAGCACCCAATATAAGATTGCAGAAAGTATTTATAAGTAAGTTGAGTGAATGATAAGGCAAATATTTGTTTTCTCTTAGTTGTGGTTTTGTGTTATTGTTATTTTTATACCCTCCACCATAGTATGGAAGGTATAGTAAGTTTGTCATTCCGTTTGTAACACCTCGAAATATACATTTTAGACCCCACAATCCGTCCGTATGTCCGTCTGTGTTGGTACAATTTTACTTAAATGTGTATTATGTCTGCAGGACTTTTGGTATTGAAAATAGGCTATGTAGGTCCACATTTTGGTATAGCCCCCACATAATGATACCTCCCTTTTTCCGGTATTTGGTGATTTATTCACCGGACTTGTTTCAAATTTCGAATGTGAAGTTCGTAATAGATACTACAGTCTATGACAGAAAATTGAATGTGCAGGTCCACGTCTTCGTATAGCCCCCATATAATGGTACCACCGCGATATTCGGTATTTTGATGAGTTTAGCGTCTTTATTCACCGGAATTGTTTCAAATTTGGTATTTGAAGTTCGTAATGAATACTACAACCTAAGACAGAAAATTGTCTGTGCAGGTCCAGGTCTTCGCATAGCTCCCATATAACGGTACCTCCCGATATTCGGCACTTTGATGATGTTAGCGACATTACTAACCGGAATTGTTTCAAATTTGGTATGTGAAGTTAGTAATGGATACTTCAGCCTAAGACAGAAAATTGTATGTGCAGGTTCACGCCTTCGTATAGCCCCCATCTAATGGTACCTTCCGATATTGGATATTTTGATGATTTCAGCGACATTATTAACCGGAATTGTTTCAAATTTGGTATTGAAAGTTCGTAATGGATATGACAGCCTATGCTGGAAAAATGTCTGTGCAGGTCCACATCTTGGTATAACCCCAATATAATAGTATCTCCCTATATTCGGTATTATGGTGATTTTACCGACCATATTCAGCGGAATTGTTTCAAATTTTGGTATTTGAAGTTGGAGGGTGTTCAAAGTTCGGCCCAACCGAACTTGTAGCTTTTCTACACGTTTTGGCCAATAATGAGTTTTTGGCTCCCTATTACATATTCATGTTAAAATAAGGATTTGATGGGCTATTTTATTTATCGCAGTTCTAAGCTTACAGTGTCTGTCCCTAGAGTAACTGATTTTTTCGTTATATTTCCCATAGGACAGACTTGGTTGTAGTATTAGTGGAAACAAAAACATATTCCGACTACTTTAATTATTTTGCTCAAAAAAGTAATTATTTCCAAAAAAAAAAAACTTTTAAATCAGTGATTTTTTAAGAAATTATTTTTTGTTCGATTTTTATAGAAAACACTTTCCAGCCGATAAATATGCAAGCCTGGAAGAGGCCAAACAACGTGTTTCTATGATTCTGTTTAGTCATCATTTTAGTGAAAAGCCAGCCCGACCTTTGGTACCAGGCATGATTGAAATTGGAGGGATACATCTGAATGAAAATCCCAATCCTTTGCCCGAGGTAAAGCTTCCATTTTTATATACGATTTTTCCAAACTTTATTCCATTTTCCAGTATTTATAAGTAACATTCATTCACTTATAAGTAACATTCAAACTTTAAATTTTAGGATATTGAATCATTTGTTGCTGGAGCCAAAAATGGAGTTATATTCTTTAGTTTGGGTACAAATGTCAAGAAAGACCATTTAAAACCGCAAACATTGGAGAAAATCTATAACGTGCTCTCTAAGCTACCACAGCGAATTCTTTGGAAATGTGATGATGAATCAAAGGTGCCGGGAAATGCCTCAAATATACTCTTTCGCAAATGGTTGCCCCAAGGCGACATATTGGGTCATCCTAATGTGAAATTATTCTTTGGCCATGGTGGTAAAGGTGGCATAACCGAAGCGAAATTTTATGGCGTTGCTATGGTTGGTCTGCCAGTATTTGCGGACCAACCAATGAACATGGAAGAAGTTGTGGCAAAGGGTTATGGTCTCAGTATAAACCATGATGAATCATTGTCCGAGGAAATTATTCACAAAACTGTCACGGAAGTTTTAAACAATCCAAAATATTCCGACAATGTTAAACAATTTTCAAATCTCTATCGAGATAGACCATTAAAAATTAAAGATAATGCGGTTTATTGGTTGGAATATCTGATACGTTACAAAGGAGCACCACACATGCAGAGTCCCCTGAAAACAATGTCTTTTGTGGAAAAAATTAATTTAGATGTTTATGCTGTTATATTTTTAGTTTTGTATTTGATTTTAAAAATTGTCAAATTGTGTTTAAGGAGTGTGATTAGATGTATAAGTCGTGATGAAAAGGCTTCAAAATTAAAGAGAGAATAATTTTGATAATGTTATTTCATTTTGTACAGCTATATTAGGTGATTAAAGTTCATTTTGCCATTAAAAAAGTGTTTTATTGAAGTATGACAGCTCAAATGGATGTTGTTTGGACAAATGCGATATGAATTCGTTTTGAAGAGTACATAAAATTCACGATCTGTAATTATTTTTAAATGATTGATGTTTAACCTAATTCAAATGACTAACAGGTATATAATTTATAGGTTAGCTATAATTATTAACAAAAAAACAGGCCTAATTATACATATGAAATAAATGCTATATTGTCCCAAAATCAAAGAAAATTGTGTTAATACGTATACACCCAATTTTAGATCCCACTCAACACAGTGGTACAAAAACAACCAAAAAAGTGTTATAAAATGAATCAGAAATTAAAATCTATTAATCAAAAATATATCGACTGATTTTTGAACGCTTGGTGGCAGTGTAGTAAGTACTTACTTCCAATGATATGCCAATGGTGAAATAAGATGTAGGATGATAATTTGTAAGTATTAATTGATGCTAAAATTATTATTTGTTACTGAGGTTTTAAGTTGGTTAGGGAGTTATGTGAACCGAATATCCCATTAAATGGTAATCTGAACAAACTATTTTCTGCATTGCTAGTAGGTTTAAAATAATGAATTTTTCTTTGCAATATTAAATCAGTAAGGAAAAACTTAAAGTCGGGCGGGGCCGACTTTATGATAACCTACACCACTTTGCTAATTTAGTAGAGCTCCACATAACAATTAAAAGTTTTTATGGGAGAATTCAGTCATAAACGCTATGACTATAATTATAATTTAAAGTTCAAAAGAAAAGCATTTGTATCTTTTAAACTCGGACTTGAACCAATCTTGATAAAATTTGGCGAAGATATTTCTAAGCTGTATTTGATATATTTCCCTGAATATCGTTGTTACGGAGTGCATATTACGGCTGTGGGTAACAAATATAGCAAATCAGATGAACAATATATATGGGAGCTATAGCTATATCTAAGCCGATCCTCACCAAATTTTACATACTAGCTTCTACACTCAATTCGTCGTAAGTGCCGTTTGGTGTACAATAAAAGGTAAATCGGACGAAGTTACATATGGGAGATATATCCAAATCCGAACCGATCTCGATAAAATTTAGCAAAGGTATTTCTGAGCTGTATTTGATATATTTCCCCAAATATTGTTGTTACAGAGTGCATATTACGGCTGCGGAGGACTAAAATAACAAATCGGATGAACAATTTCGATCAAATTTGGGATACTTATTTGCAGGCCTAATTTGGTTGTATGTGCAAAATTCCATACTATTCGGCCTGATATTACACGTTTGGTGCACAATAAGAAGCAAATCGGACGAATATATATATATGGGAGCTATATCTAAATTTTTACCGATTATCTCCAATTTTAATAGGGTTCGTCCTTGGGCCAAACAAATGAGTTCATCTGAATCGGGTAATAAATGTGAACTGTACTTTGTTCACAGAAATACATGTACAGACGGACGGGCGGGCAGACATGAATAAATCGACTCAGAATGTGATTCTATGCAGATCATCAAAAGGAACTATGGGTCTATCTCGTTTCCTTTTGCCTGTTACAAGCAAATGCACAAAGACATAATACCCTGACCACCTTGTGGTGTAGGGTATAAAAGCAAAAGAACTTTAACTTCTCATTACCAAGCAATGAGTAATGTCGGCACAGTTTGTGCGTATCCGACCAAGAAACAGAAGGTTGTGAGTTCAAGATCTGGCGTCGAAAAACTAAGAAAAAATAGCAAGCAAGGGCAATACTGTTTGTTCACAGTAAGTTCGGCCGGACTGAACTCTAAATACCCTCCAACATTTTGAAAGAATTCGCAAATTTTCAAAAAAAAAAAAATATATATATATAAAAATAATAGTGGCAAATATGGGAAGTTATAGTTATTGGGGCCTATAAGAAGACATGGACCTGACGTCATTATGATATTCATATCCGAAACTGAAAACAATTCCGGTGAATAATGTCGCAAAACCCATGAAAATTACTAATCTTGGAAGGTACCCTTACATGGGGCTCCAACAAAGCCGTAAACCTGCATTAGAATCTTCAAATACGAAATTCGAAACAATTCCGGTGGAGAATGTCGCTAATATCATCGAAATACCGAATATAGAAGGTGCCGTTATTTGGGGCTATACAAAGGCGTAGACCAGCATGAGCAATTTTCTGTCATAGTCTGTAGTACCCAAATTTCGAATTTTAACCATTTCCGGTGAAAATCATCAGAAAACCGAATATGTGGAGGTACACTTATATGGGGTCTATACCAAAGCTTAGACTTATATTGACAGTTCTATGCAGGGATACTTCCTACAAAATGCGAACACACTTCCAATTTACAGCAAATTCAGTTTGAAGTTGTGACTAAGACAACCGAAAAACATTTAATCTGCTGGTACAAAAATATGGGACCTATACCAAATCGTCGACCTATTTAAATTACCTAACACATCTGTCTACTTCTTTTCATTCGGAAGGTAAAGCGATTTCCATGGACGGACGGACTGACAGACAGACATCGCTAAACCGACATAGAATTTGACTTCATTGTATTTAGTTCTGTCCACCCAGAACATTCAAACTCAATTCCTCCTTTATCTTATAATGGGGGTTAATTATTTAGTCATTCAGTTTGTAGCACCTCAGATAGTTTGTTGAAAACCCCATAAAGTGTATATTTTTGATCTGTTTATCCGCCCGTCAGTTGAAATAGGTGTCCCATAGGCTTCTATTCCGATCCTATTTTGTGCCAATCGGACTATAATTGCGACTTTTTTATAATAGCCTCAACTCAGTGTGTAATAGGGTGTGATAAAACTTTACAAAATGTTCATTTCAATATATGAAAATATCTCATGCGATATTAAAAATGACAAAAATGTAATAAAAATATTCACTTCTTATTGGGAAATTTATATGGGTTTTTAGATATTATCCTGTATGTCAAAAGCCCATTTTGAATAGAGTAGAATTGTAAAAATTCATCCAGCCGTTATAAGCGTTATAACTAATATACTTTTTTATATATTGTTTATTTTTCTATCAACACAAGATCTTTTATAAAGATGGTAGAGATCGGACCATTCCTTCTGGTACCTTCCCCCTCAAAGGGTCGAAGTTTGTTATATCTAAATATTTGCCTTTGCCCGAAATCTGATATGAATATGCCGTGAAGAACATCGCCTATAAAGGGTCTGCAGTTAGAATAATCATAACTCAAGGCTGGGGGTATACATCTGTCGGCAAAACCGACTGATACTATTTAACTTGTTTTATTCATATTTTTATTGGCTTATTTTTTCGCTTCCGAAATGGTGTATATTGCCAAAGTAAGGCCAGCCTTTCTTGAGTTAAAAGAGTAGTTACTAACATCACTTTCATTCAAAATAGATTCTTAAAATTAGATTTCTTCAAGATATTGCTGAAATTTCACAGGTGTTTGGGTGCAATTCTACTGAAAGTCCCACGTTTAGGGGAATATATTCGGCAGATAAGATACGATGTCTATGCTAATACAATGCTGATAGATAGCTTATCAAATATTAAAAGAATCACAAATTGATAAATATAACATTGTGCAACAATTTTTGGGTAATTTTTGAAATATCCTTTAGAAATTCCTCCAATTTAGAAAACCTAACATTACTTTTTATGTTTGGTAACAAATTTTGCGATTTCCAAAATTTGCAGAAAATTAGAAGATTCTTCCTTGTTCCATACGGTAAACTATTTTCTATGAAAATGTTCACCTTTTGTGGTATTTTCCATCTTGTCTTAATAAAAGCATTGGGATGTGTGAAATCTAAAAAGAATCCTTTGTGGGGGAGGTACTCCATGGAGTGAAGTTTTTATACCCAAAAATAAATATACAGGGTGAGATAAAAAGTCAAATGCCATAATTTTTACTTTTTAATTTTTTTTTTTAAATTTTATTGAATGAAAGCAAAAAATAAGTTTAGATTTGTTCTAATTGGTCATCTTTGGCACGTATTATAGCCTTCAAACGGCCAATGAAACAATCACACGCTGCCAGAATGTTGCTCTGCGGTATTTAAGCCCATTCCCGGCGAATCGCATGCTTGAGGTGTTCGACACTTTGGTATTTTTTAGTGCCCACCTTACTTTCGAAAATACTCCAGACACAATAGTCCAACGGATTGGTATCCGGAGATTTTGGTGGCCATTGTGCGCTGGAAATGAAGCGAGGAACCTCATTTTGTAACCATTCTTGTGTGACACGTACTGAGTCTTGTTGGAATGTCAGAGGTCTGCGGCGAAAATGTTTGCGTGTCCAAGGCTTTAATACACCCTCGAGAATATTTTCGCGATAGGTGCGACCATCGTCTGTTTTGGCGGCCCACTCCATCACCATCGCCGGCACTTAAGTTCTGGTAGCCAATCGAAGGTGTACATTTTCAACTGACCTCTTTTACAAGTAAACACGATCATTTTGTTTGTTTACAAACTGCTGGACAACGAATGTTTTCTCATCGGAGAAAACCAAATTCGGCAGTTCACCACTTTTGGCCAAACGAAGCAACTCTTTAGCTTTTTTGGGTCTATTTTCTTTCTGTTGCGGTGTAAGTTCTTGCACTTTTGGAATTTCAATGGCTTTACCCCGAGCTCATTTTTCAATATTTGCCGAATGGAATATTGCGATATTTTCAGCTCATGAGTCATTTTGCGGTCACTGCAACGCGGATTTCGATCAAGTCGCTTCTTAACTATTTGAACCATTTCTGTTGTTTTCTTTCGTCCACTTCCTTGACGTCGGGCTACGCTACGTATCACAAAAGATTTATTCACATTTAAATGATGGAGTGCTAACGATAGCCACTTGTGGTTTTCCCGCCGAATATAAAGAAATCACACTATCATGTTTGAATTCCATCACGAATAACTTTTTTCTGGAAATTTCTCACCAAATGCTTTTGTAGGCTTCTTAACAATATAATGAGCTGTAACTGGAATAATTTTAAAAGCTGTCGGACGAGTGGCTTTGATATGACAGCAGTCTGAAATTGGTTGCAGGTTTTACATCTCACCCTGTATATAGGGCCTTAACGAAGACGTTAGCCGATAATGATTTTTTTTCATGAATTTTTCTAATTGTATGTTTTTCGAAAAACATTCCTATAGTTCTTAAAAACTCACCCTATATAATCCAAAGAGTAAATTTACAACCAACATTTTTCTATTTCATAATCGTATCTTAGTGAACAT